AATGATGAGATATCTCAGTTCTCACATTATTTAAACTAAAAATATGCTTTGATTACTTTTTTGATCTAGTTTTTTTCTTCATTTAATTATGCTTTAAAACAAACTAATACTAAATAAGGAATTTCAAGAGATTCGTTTTGCTACTTCTCAATATTCAAATTTAATTTATGCATCGCGCAGCAATTTAAGATTTGCAAAGAAATTTTTTACACCTCATTAGCAAAATATAAAAACTAGTGTGTCATCACAGCGAGGAATCCATAAATTGGTTTCGCTTTCAAGTCTTCAAATGTTTCAATGTTTCAAAACTTGATTGAATTTAGAACGACATAGATTTTACTGCGACTATTTACTTTTACTCTAAACGAATTCAAGAAAGTTAAACGTCAAAATCATTCAAAAGTCACAAATAATCGTAGAAACAAGTCCATAAACACGCCAAACATTTGTGATACACTAAGGTGAATCAACAAGTAATCGTTTTCGAAAACATGTAAATTTTTGTAACTCAAAAAGTGTAAAAAAGTGATGTAATACGATGTGAGCTTGTGAGGTGACGAAAAAAGATCAACTCTTCTGATATTTACTCGATTTCATTTACATATTTGGCATAACTCAATATACCATAATTTTTGTCGATTGATATTTGATCGTCTAAGACGCAATTTATAATTTATACTTCAAAAATATTTAAATCGACTTTAATAAACTTTTACTTTAATTTTTTTATGAAATTTTGTTATTATTTTTAATTAAAACACAATTAAATCAAGATAATAGACACTCTCATGACATTTATAGCTATTGAAACGTGTCTTGTGGCATGCAATTGGAACATACTAATTATTGATTTGTAACCAATCGCAACAAATTAAAATTGAAAAATGATTTGCCATTGTTCTGTTAGTTGTTCCTTTCATGATATTGCTTAACTTTTAACAGGTATGGTGTTAAAAACAGATGGTGTACAATATACTTGAAAACTAAGAAATGTATTCACTTTTTTGATATGTTTTGAATACGAAATTTGGTTAGGATAATTTCTGTTAAGTTGATTTTATAGAAACGTGTAGGTAACGTGTGACCCACCGTGCGGTATACAATCAACGAATAATCGAACTACTGACCTTTGACGTTTTGCAACCGCACAATTCTATTATGCAAGCACTACACAGCATCAACTTCACACATAGTGGATGTTCTCACAATAATTTAACCAAACATAACACATTTTTATAATAGTTAGAATCATAAATAATAATATTGATAAATATAAACTTATTTATTTTAAAGTTCAAATTTTGATTGTAAATTATTTAGAAAAAGATTGATAACGTATAAATATGATTTATATTGAGCATAAATTGTGTTAAATATGGATTCATGTGGTTTGATACAAATTTTTAGTCAAGTCAAGTTAATTATTAAGTAGTTAACAAATATTGTATGTTAATGAAGTCACCTTTACTCCCGATGAACATATTTGGACCACCCACATGTGCCACAACAAAATATATGGCAATACATACTTATACTTCACAGTAAGTTAAATAAATCTTTAAAAATTGAACTTTACTTGTGATATGTATTGTGTAACCAAAATAAAATATTTTGTTTTTGATATGTCTAATAATATGGGAACTGATTTTCTTGATAATTTATCAATGAGTCATCGATAAATTTCTTTCTTTCCAATAAGTTCAGCTTTGTTCTGGCTAGTTGCACATAGTTTCTGTCCGGTTCTATTAGTTCAATACGCTGAGAATGTTCTACTCTCTTTCGTTTTAGTGTTTGTTATACGCTTTTACTTGCATTTTACTTCCAAGTCACCACGTTTACTCGCATTGTATTTACTCAAGCATAGAATTACTTTGTCGAGACGCCCACCGCTCAAAGGCAAAACATTTCGTACGTGCAATTGATAAACAATGCATGCTTGCATGTTGAATAGCTCAATATCTCGATTGTTGTGAAGACATGACAAAGTCGAAACTATAAACAACTTCATAGAATACAGTACTCTAAGAAGACTTCGACATTAATGGGTGCCTACTTGATTATATTGAGGCAAAGGTGAAAATGAGCAGAACCAATGTGTTTCTAATGAATGCTTCTGTAGTCTATGTATTTATAGGTGATTGGTGAATAGTGAGTGAGCAATTGCTTGCGAATTCACCTGGGCGTGGCACATTTTACTTTGAAACTAATTCATGAGAAATGTTTCATCATCAGTAGCGATGCAAATCAACACAAGGAGTTTTGTTATGCCTTCCTTTACAGTTTAATGTTTTATGAATAATTAATTAACAATTATTCAAAAATTATTCATATTGACGTGTGTCAAGCATATTTTAATTGTCATACCTTTGTAATTTTAATATGAATCTATAAATTTTGATTTCTTAAAATTAATTGGACGTAAACTGTAAGATTATGTAAAATGCAAATATAGTGCAATGAAATGAAACATGAGAATGATATATGTACCTATTAAGTTAGACTTATTTCCAAAATGTTCCTAGCATCATAAATCAAATCATAAATCAAGATTTTATGATGCAACAATATTTGTACGCAGTAATGTTTTCTGTATTTAATAGAGTAAGTTTGTTTGTAGATTTTTCATGTAACTAGAAACAATTCAACAGACAAATGTAATAATTTTGACAATAAAGGTATTGAATAAATTTAAAGAATGTGATAGATCCACTACTTAGATAAATCCTTAGAAAAATAAAATCTCTTTGCTACTACATCACTTTTTGCTCCATTGTTTAGTAAAATTTCTATTATTTTATTATTCTGTTAAACCACAGGAAAGTTTAACACATATTACATAAAATTGTCACTGAATTCTACGCATTGTTAACATTTGAGAATTTATTCAAAACACAAGCATTAAAACGTACATTTCCTATTCCAAAACTTTGCTTTATTTTACTGTGGCACAATAGATTTTACAAAATTCACAAGAAAGTTAAAAAGCGTGAAAATGCATGACATCTCAAGCAACTCGAACTACTCAGCATTCTAACCTAAGCCTAACTTATATAACAGCTTTAATTTTCATCCCATTGCGAGCACAATGCTCAATGATTACGATTAGCAATCGAGATGCAATTGAATCGCAATTGAAATTCTTAAAGTCTGAGAAAACTACAAATACAGGAAGATATAAGCAGACATGTTAACAGGCTGCAGCGTGGAATTCTCGCAGGAAAAGAAAATGTGCATGCGGTGTTTCTGTTCTTCTCAGAGTGAAGACAAGAATTGTTCACAAGTATAAAATACACAGCAAAGGTGGAAATGTCAGACGGGCCAAATACTACCATGCAAATGTAATGGAAATGCGTTGAGATGTAAGAAGTATGCAACGTTGAAATTGTTTAGACTATAAACAGACTCAATAGTCTAAACAGACTAATATGGCAAATTTTCTTTAAAAGTGCAATCAACTATCATGATATAAACACAAACAACAAATAAAAATATAAATTAAATAAATAAGAATAAAATTTATCGTCATAATCATGAATAAATGCATAATAAAATGGAAAATGTGCAAGATAAACATAGATTTTAATCGTGTATGAGAAAAAGTAAAGAATAGTGATTCATATAACAATTCCGAGAATTCAAAATGTTTTCCGCAAGTTTTCACTTCATGGAATAATTAGTTTTAGCATAGATTAAAATGGTAGCCAGAAATTACCTAATACTTAGATTAATACACCCAGGATTAAGTAAAAATATTTAGTCTAGAAAATTAATCCGAATTATATGCAAAAGTATGTAACAAATGTGCCAAGGTAAAAAGTAAATATTTTATAACGTAAATTCAAGAATTTTATAGGAATTTAGCGATGTCGTTATAGTTATAGGATTAAAATACCATCACTTTTTAAAGTTTATGAATTTGTCATTAAAATTGCACGAATAAGCAAAATGAAACTAAAACTGGAGTCATTGAATTTGATATTTGATACTACGTTAACTGCATCGTTAATTTAAGGTCAGATCATGCGATAATATCAAATTTCTTAAATTCTAGGTGGAGTAAAATTTCTTAAGCAATTCAAAATAGAAAATCAATATTTTAACTAGATACTTAAAATAATTATCTTTTTGTAAACTTAATTAACACATTTTCCATTTTTTTTTTTTTCATGACTTATTAACATTTCAACTCTTCTTTCATCATTCTTTTTTAACTACCAATAGTTATTATTGAATCCAATTATAATCCTGATTAAAACCATCTCACTAAATAATGAAATATCGTGCCATATACATTCGCATCCACTTGGCGCTTAAACATTGCACTTTCATTACGCGAGTTAACAGTAAATGAGTACCTAGACATTACCCAAGCGTTTTTTTTTTGTTGCACATTTTATGCATGCCTCTCTATTTCTCTTTCATAAACACATTAAACTGCATTCTGAATGCAGCATACGATATTCGACATTGCTATGACTCTCAATTCTTCAAGAACGCAACTCGGCGCAGTTCTACGCAACTTAACTCAACTCAACGCAGGCATCAAGAGATTGTTGGTATTACTAATGCCAATACCACTATTGGAATATTACCAATACCAGTATGTTTAACAGTGTTTAACGATGCGATAGTTGTGTGCAGATGTATGTGTGTTGAAGTGTGGTTTGCAGAGGCGCAAAAAACACCGCTATGCGAACGACTTATTTATGAGTCGCATGCAAATTAAATCACTCGTCGAAGAGGGAAAATACGAACGCGGCATAATGTAATGCAGGTTTTCGATTTCAATTTTAATTTCAATTTTGACATCGACATCAACTTTCCTTACAGCATTTTTAACACTAATGAAACAGATGTGGTAATGAACTACATCTACACGATTAATGAAGATTAAAAAGTGTAATTGAAAGTGATTTAATAAGCAATTAAATTTTGTGAATTTTAATTTATGACTTTGTAATTTGTTTGTATAAAAAATATAAAAATAATTTAAAACTGACCTGCTTAGTGAGCTTCATGTTGAATCGTCTTCCCTGTTCGATTCCGGTCGCACACTGCGTTTGAAAACGTTCTTTTATCCAAAAATGGAAAATTCACACACGATCACGCGTCGCCACTACGCCGCACGTAGCAGTTTCACTTTTCCGTGTCGTTTTGTTCTTTTACTGCGACTAATGTGCTACTGCGTTACTACGCAATATTTTTTACGTTTGTTCTTCTTCGATTTTATTCTACTGAACTGAGTTGCAGGTCGCGTATTGCGGCGTGCTCGGAAAAAATTGGAATAGAAAACGAGAGAAAACGTGTGCGAGTGAACGAACTAGAAAAACGTATTTGAGCGAAATTAGAGTCGCATCGGTCTGGATTAAACGAACGTGAATGGCGCGCGTACGCGACCGCCGCTTGCATTTATAACTTACCAAGAACCGAGAGGTAACAACAAGAGGCAACAATTTCTTCGTGCCAATGCGCACACTACAAGGAACCAACAGTTGGAGGGAGCTTGAATCTGTTTCTTGTAGACATATCAGTTGTTCTAGAAGTTATAATTTTGACACTTATACAAACAAGTAGCAATACAATCTGACTTAAACCGAAATATTTTCGAAACTAAAAGAAAATAGTTATACTAATCCACTTATTTGTGGTTACATTGTACCAATTATAGATATTACATTCAATTAGATATTTTAAGGTTACTGGTTTATATTTTTTACGGTATTTTTTATTGATGTATCTCTAGGAATGCGAAACATCATAAATCTTTTAGGCGCATTTGCATTGATCAAATGTTTGTGTAATTATCAATGACGTTTGCATATTTCTTCTTTATTAAACATTTTGTTTGTTTATCCACGCGACTTGGATAAGTTAAAATCAGTCAAACAATCAACAATCATGAAATTAATCCAAGTTTTTTTTGATTTTCCGTTAAAGTCAATTAATTTTGATTTGACACATTGTGAGAAACAAATCTTGAAATATAATATATATCTGAATGTGCAATATCCGGATTATGTTAAATGTGTTGTTTTAGTGTTGTTTTAATCGAGTATTAAAAGGAGCGATTCTCAGAAAGCGGAAAGCACTAATTAAATGTCAGTGTAAAGTTTAAACCACTTTCCTTTTTATCTCTCACTTAGATAGCTCTCATCACTCTACATCACTTGCTAAATAGTGCAAAACACTCAATAACATTTGCGAATTTTAATTTACATATTAATTTCTTCTACTGCGTTGTAAATTCAACTGGATATAAATATTTCCAGCTATGCCACTTAAATTTTTTATTGTGGTTTGAAAATCATCAACAACTAAACAAAATTGGCCTTGATTTACATTCCTGCATTCCGACACTTCTATTTCAATAAAACTACAACGATTTTTGCGGTTGCTTGCTCTACTCTTCTGATTCTTCTAGGTTTCTAAAACATAGTAGCAATATCATCATCTTGTTATGCAAATTTGTGACTTTTCAAGTACATTCACGTACATTCAAACGCCAAGAGTCAAGTACGATCATCTTGAATGTTCTGAATGCTTCGGATTTGAATGGAATAATTGGATCACTGTAACGAAATTGTAAGTGCATTCAAATGGTTTATATTTGATAGTTAGCACATGATCACAATGAACAAGTACATAATTATAGATTGCTCGTGGCTCATAAAATCACAAAACACTCAAACACAATAGCATTAGCCAAATTAGGCATTTCAAAGTGGAGTATAATGGAAAACAATTTGCCGGCAAAAAAAAAACAATTCAATCAAGTGAAGTCAAAAAGTTTGGTTAATGATGGAGTAATTTCCCAAAAATTATGTATTGCCTCATCGGAGTTTTATGTTTGCTCAACTTGTTACACGATCATTATTTGAATTTGGCACAGTCATGAATTGATTTCAAATTTGGAATTTTATTGGGATTTTACAAGGTTTCGCAAAAATATCTTAAATAATCAATATTGTCAAATAATTTGATTTTTATATTATCATTAAAATATAATACATGTTATTTAATCTGTATTATTTGCTCACAGATGTAAATTTTTAATTTAGGTAATACAATTACGAATTCACTGACGCACTTCGAAGTTTCGAGCATTGCAAACAATTGGATCGGCGATTGTCAGACGGTTCGAGGCGATCTTAAGCAATCACACATGACACTAAATTGTGCGCATGCCAGGAATTCATAATTAACGAAATGAAGCAAATAAAATTTAGAGAGCGGTGGATTATAAAACACCACCTTAAGAAATAACCCATAAAATTACATACTTGAATTACAGCAATTAATTTTTGAATGCATCCTGCATTTTTTACCAAAATTTATTTAAAAAATTAATTAATTTGAAACAATGTTGTTGTTCAATGTAATGGAAAAATTTCTCTTGCATTATTAACTTTTATTTGAACTTGTAAAATCGTTTTGAGAACATTTACAAGCTTAATTATAGTAATGATGGTCAGTTGAGTGAGCGCATCGCAAGTTAAAAAATAAAAACTATTTAACTCTTCGTAAATTTAAAAGTATCGGCGCGAGACATGAATAACGAACATGTTACGAACACTTGAACACCTGGATCACATGCCACACGCCAAAACTCCGATGTAACAGAAGCCGTCAAAGAAGCAGAACACTTTCGCCGCGATCCGTCCTGCTGACAGACTCGTTGTTGATTAGCTGGTTTTAATCGCTTCCCGATCGGACTGAAAAAACCGCAAACACCGACCGCGCATTAATGCCAGCTACAAAGTAAGTAGAAGATACGTTAAGTAGTATTGCTAGTATAAAATAGTAGAAATAGTATCACTAGTCAATGGTGTCAACGTAAATCACGTCAAACACACTTCGAAATGTTTTGGTTTTTCTGCCAAACTCAACTAACTTAACTGAACTTAAGAACTCATTGTGATATATAAGTAAGTTGTTGTGATTAAGATAGTGTTCGTTTGTAATCTTAAATGGTTAAGTAGATTAATTTTGTTGCCAGTAATAGCAAGTTAAGTTTCACTAAGTGAACAATTTTGGAAAAGCGGAAATGAACAAAAACTGAAATAGATTTACAATTTGTGGTTGTGTGGTTGATCGAGTTAATAAATTTTTGTTCAATTTAATTAGATTGTTAATTGGACATTACTTAATAGAAAGACAGGAAAACTGAATTCAGATAACTATAAAATTATTCCAATCACACAAATGTTTTACTTGAATCATAACGTTTACATAATTGTGTACAAATGAATAAATTCAATCTCCTACTACCTAATAAAGCAATTAAGTAACGTGTTTAGAATACAATATATTTACTGATATGTCACATTACATAGACAAAGAAAGTGTAAATGTAATTGCGTGCAGGCGCAAAATAAATTAACAAATGTTTTGCAAATCAATAGAAAGTACAATGAGTAATTCTTGAAAAAAGGGAAATTTACGCTTGATTGCCTGACAATGTGTGTTATTAGTTATTAATTACACTTCGTGTGACTTCACATGAACCATATCAGTACAAACAATTGCAATACAGGAATTGTGTGCGTATCTATATAGCGTATAATCGCTTACAACTAACAATAAATTAATGACACGTCAATTTAACAAATACTATAAATCATAATTTGTTGAAGTTGAAAACTAATATGATTTTCTACGCATTTATACATATCTTAATTAGAAAACATAAACTCTAACCAAGATGAAACGTGTATTAAAGTTTTTTTTTGTTTAACACTTGACACCTGATAGCACAAAGAAAATAAAATCTACAGAAAAGTGTAAGGACTATACGCTATATTAAATCAATTAGAAATTATACATTTATGTGAAATTGATATAGAGACGTGTGTGAATGGCGTGAAATGACGGTATTAAAATAAGAATCTATAGTGCAAAAACGTTTAATAAATAATTATGAAGAAATCGGATACTTTTATTGTTTATTGATACATGGTTAAATAATTTGATGATCATATAGGACACGGTAGTATATTATCTTAAAAAACTGACAGAAATAATTAATCATTTTTAATAGTCAATACTAAAATACTTCAAATTTAATTAAACCTCTTTTACTTATGATCATTATTTTTATCAGAAGTGGTTCACGATTAAAACATGTTACCTTAAAATTTGCATGTTCTTTGCTACTGATGTACGACTCAATTCTTGTGCATACAACAGGCGTACATCATTAATTATGTAACAACATTGTTTCAGTGCAATAAGTACATAACAAAAATTTATAGCTCACACAACTCTCTTCATTTGTACGCACCTTAATTCGATGAGTATAAGCCCCCACAATTGTATTGTGAATATTAATTAATACGTGAATTTATTGCTGCAAAAAGCAGTTAGGCAAACAAATAGATACGCACATTTTTCTGTGTAAAGAGTGTGTGAAAACAATGATCTTGCATTATGGCTATAACACGTAGGTACCGCAGAATTTTACACTAGTTATAAAAACAAACAAAATAAATTTCATGAAGCCGTTGGTTTTGACTCTTGCTGCTCTTACGCGGTAATTTCCAACAATTAACAATTGCATATTGTAGTTAGTGGCATTCACAGGCAGACAATTAAACAAACACGTTTTCTCGACGTGTCTGTGAAACTGTGAACAGAGAAGCATACCACATGGCACTAACGCTCATAGTATGAAGTATGAAAGTAATTATATTTTTTATTATTATTTAGCAATGACATGCAATGTTAGTACCAAAGTCTGAAAATCAGCGTGAAATTTATCAAATGTATGAATATGTCATGAAAAACAATCTAATTTTACTAGGAAACATGTTTCTATTTTGTAATAGGTTTTAATATTTTGGAAAGTAAAAAGTTTTAATAACTTTTTTTGAATAATAAATTTTGGTATTAATCTTCGACCAAATTATAAATTATTCTAAATTAAATATTTGTCAACACGTCGTAAATTTGTCCCTTTTGTAATTATGATGTCGAAAAGCGGACGTTTCATAATGCACACTTAAGAGTACCCGCAAAGAAACAGAAATAGAAATAAGAATATTCATTGGCAATCAATAATCACCGACAAATCGATAAATGATTATTTCATTACTATTCACGGCACTAAGTCGCTTCAACTTAACTCTTGTTAACTTCGTAAAACTTAAAAACTCCACTCGTTAATATTGAATTAGAAGTAAGCGCATTTACCACACAGATTTAACTTAAGTTAAGTCAAGTGACTTTAGTCTCAAGAGTTAATTGTAATTGGGTGTAGGTGGTATGCGCACATTCATCAAAGCATCGGCGACGATTAACAAATTGTACGTTTTAGGAAACTCTAATTTATTGCTAGTGCATGCTATAATTTTAATTTTACTTGCGTGGAACAACTGTAGCTTGATTTAAATAT